TTCATTAGGAATATATCTGCTCAAATTGTATTACAGGCAATTAGATGCATATTTTCTAGCATCAGAATTTTCATTCTAGCATCAGAATTAATAAATGTAAACATAGTATGAACAGAGACAACGGTCCATTTCCTTCAAGTTCTTTGTTCCTACTATTCTAGTGGCGGAAATCTAACTGTTACGCTCGGTGAGCTCTGACTCGGTTGGCTATATCTTGCCACGCCCACTCGGTGCCCACTGAGCGAGTATATAAACGCTCAAATTGTAGATTGTAGTTTAGTTTAATCATCTGCTGATGATTTTTTAGAATGAGTGGGAGGGGGGTTAATCACTGCGACCTTACAGATCCATTGTGTCCCCCTTTCTTGAGTCATAACTCATCATACAGTCCCAGGGCTTTGACAAAAGCCAGTATCTGGGACGGTTTTATAGAGGGTAGTTCTCCATCTCCAATATCAGTCGTACCAAAATTCATGGCACGAATGGTTGTCTAGGCGCACTCAGTGATGAGGTGTACTGGTGTTTCCCCATCTTCCCCACAGAATCTGCATTCGCCGTTTCTTCTTAGTTTCAATCTACTGAGGTGTTCATTGAGGAGACAGTGTCCTGTTAAAAACCCCGTGACAATCCGAAGATTGTTCTTACTTAAACCCAGGAAGATCTGTGATTTTTCTTGATCATAAGCCCTCAGAAACTTCTTCGAGTGTCTTAGACCACCCAGACCACCTAGACTTCCAAGTTCTTGAGTTCCGCCTTGAGTTGGTTACCACTTGGAAAGCAGAACGGTTCTGGTCCAGTTAGTGGAGTGTTCGCTCCTTTCCTAGCTAGATTATTTGCTTTTTCATTGCCTTCTATCCCTTGGTGAGCAGGCACCCAGAGTAGGAGGACTTTGTTTTCTTTGCCTAATTTATTCAGCTTCTCTATGCATTGTTTGACCAATTTCGAATTGATTGATACTGAGTTGATCGCTTTTAACGCTGCTTGACTATCAGACAAGATGGCTATTTCTTGTTTCCGATAGTTCCTATCAAAGATAAGTTGTACGCATCTTTCGATAGCGTAGATTATAGCCTGTAGGATACTAGGGTAAGTGCCCATTGGTTCGGAGTATTTAGCTCTCGGCCCAAACACTCCGATCCCTGTTCCCGTATTGGTTTTGGAAGCATCAGTATACCAAGTTATGGTCTTTTAACTGCTGGGCAAGCGTTTCGCTCTTCCAATCCTTTTTATTGATCAATACTACATTGAGATGTTTCTCAAAGTTGTACGTTCTTGGCATATCGTCCACTGGGAGTTGCAGGAGTGGTATTTCCTTTATGAGGGTGTTCCAAGCCCCTGATCTGACAATTCTCCCAGTACTAATTCCGTTTGTGACCATTCTAATCATTGTCGCATTGGCATATCTACCAATGACAATGTGCAGTGCTGCTGTTGGACAGGTTCTCATGGCTCCTGTGATGCAAACGCATGCTAGTCTCTGGACTTTGCATAGGTTTAGCCTTGCCGTCTGTTGCTCTAGTTTTGTGTACCAGGCAACTGCTCCATAAGTAATCATGGGTCTTACTATCATGGTATACATCCAGCGTAAAATGTTAGGGGAGCAGCCCCATCTATTTCCGGCCAGTCTTCTGCATATCATGAGAGCCTTTATGGCTTTGCTGGTAGTGTTCTTAATATGCCTGTTCCACAGGAGTTTACTGTCCAGGGTTATTCCCAGGTATTTAACTTCCTGTGTTGGCAGTATTTCCTTTCCATCTAGTTGGATTCTTTTCAAGTTTTTCAGACTTCGCCTTCTGGTGAATGGCACTATCGCGGTTTTGTCTGAGTTGATACTCAGCCCGACAGTCCTACACCATCTCTCAGTGATACGGAGTCCTCTTTGGATAATATCACACAAGGTGCCTTCATGTTTCCCCCGAGCGATCATGACTATGTCATCTGCATACCCAATGCAGTGTATTCCCGCTAGAGTTAATTCATCTAGTAGTTCATCCACCACCAAGCTCCACAGCAAAGGGGAGGTTACTCCACCTTGTGGAGTTCCTTGCGTTGTTTTAACAGCTACAGTTTTGGTGCCCATCTGAGCCTCTGCTGTTCGTGTTGACAGCATTTCCCAAAACCAGCGAATAATAGTTCTGTTCACCCCTCTTGTTTCTAGAGATCGCCTGACCACCTTATGTGGTATATTGTCAAACGCCCCCGCAATATCCAAGAAGGCACAAATTGCTGTTTCTTTGCTATCCAGACTTGTCTGTATTAGCTCCGTTAATTGGTACAGAGCAGTTTCTGTGGATCTGCCCGTTCTATATGCATGCTGACTATCATGCAGTGGTTTAACCTTTAGATGATTTTCTCCAATATGGTTGTCAACTACTTTCTCCAGCGTTTTTAGTATGAACGATGTGAGACAAATAGGCCTAAATGACTTGGGATTTGTCCAGTCAGTTTTGCCTATTTTGGGTATGAAGATTACTTTTGCTCTTCTCCATGTGGTTGGTATATATCCCATCGCTAGACTGCTTCTTGTAATGCTTAGTAGATGGTGAGTAGCTATTTGCTGACCCTCCTTTAGAAGGGCAGGAAAGATCCCATCCACTCCTGCTGCTTTATAGGGCTGAAAGGTGTCGATCGCCCATTTCAGCTTTTGTTCTGTTATTACTAGCTTGCCACTTCCCAATCTTCCCTGCAAGGATTGTGGGGTTCAGTGGGAGCTACATGAGTATCAATAGGTATGCTACCTGGAAAGTGTGTATAAAGTAGGAGATTTGCTCTCTCTTCCTCTCCCTCCGTGTAGTTTCCGTCAGATTTCTTAAGTGCCATGTTGGGGATAGATCCACTCTTGGCCATAGCTTTGTGTAATCTAGCTGCATCAGGAGTAGAAGTGATGTTTTCGCAAAAGGATCTAAAGTCAGACTGCTTTGCCCTTCTTATCTCCTTCTTATACTCAGTTAATTTCTCGCTGTAGAGCTGCCATTCGCCACTGGATTTAGCTCTATTAAAAAGTCGTCGGACCTCCGATCTAAGTTTGGCCAACTTTTTGTTCCACCAGGGCTTGTTGTTACTTTTCTGTATGCCTTTACTTGCGGGGCAACTAGATTCATATGCATCCAATATTGCACCGCTGACTTCCCTTGCGTACCATTCTAGATGCAGATGGTTTCTGGCCCTACTTGCATCTATACGGTTTAGGTTGTCTACGAGATTGGAGTTATATATGTCCCAGTCTGTTTTTCTTGGATTCCTTCGAGTTTCTGTTTGGAGTGTGATTCCTCCTAATATGAACTCGATGATTCTGTGATCTGATAGGGAGGGTTCCGTTGAGACCCTCCAGTGTTTCACGTAACTGATTACACTAGCACTCCCGATTGTTAAATACTTCTGCCCGCGTTTTTGTCACGAACGTGGGGCTGTTCCCTACATTGAGAACTTCAAGATTGTATGCTAAGAGGAATTCAAGTAAACACTCACCTCTAGTGTTAGTGTTAGTGCTTCCCCATACCTCATTGTGTGTATTGGAGTCGAATCCCAATAGCAGAGGTAGTCGCCGTTGGCTGCAGAATCGCACGAGCTCCCGTACCTCCGGAGGCGGTGTCTCCCCGTCACCCGGAAAGTAAGCAGAGACAATCACGATGTTTTTACTGCAATTCTCGATATTAAGTTGAACCATGATAGGAACAAGATCTCGGGTTGTAAATTCTGAAACACATGTGTAGTTATGTCTTTTCTTATAAGAATACAGGCTCGGGGAAATTCCTGCCTGTTATCATATATTACCTTTGAATTTTTTCCAGACAAACCTCTAATTTGTCCCTGATAACATCCAGGGTTCCTGGGCTAGTACCATTGCATAATGATTTTTCTCAAAGAGTCTTGCTATTGTAGCGGAAGACCCTTTTGCATGGTGCAGGTTTATTTGGGATATCCCATGCATGGGGGGGGGGGAGGAAGAAAGGATAAGTTCGGGGTGGGAAGAGGGGCTGGAGTAGGACCTGGTTTAGGTTACTGGGGTGTGTGAGGATTCTCCCGTTGTAGAGGGGATAGGGTATTCCTCATCCTCCTCTGACAACGGAAGTTCCTCCTCCGAGAAGTGGCCATCAACCTTCTCCGAGGATATACACCCTTCCACGGTTGGGGTTTGACCCTCCGTGCCCTTCACAGTCGAGTAGCTTGTCTCCGGCTGAGGTACCTGTGAGATAGAGGCTGGAGAATCTGTCTCCATTTTCTCTACCTGTTTAGCTTGGTCTCTTCTTAGACCTGATACCGGTGTTGTCCCGAATCTATAATAAAGAATGTATCCCTCTTTCTCTATTGCCTCCTTGGATTTGAATCCTTCCCTTTTTGGATTGATCCTCCCCTTTTTGGAGGAGTACTTTCTCTTTTGCTTCCTCTGGAGCAAGTCCTGCGTGGAGCAGTCGGAGGTACCTCCGTGCTTCTGCTCCGCTAAGACCCACTCTCAGCGGATCGTCCAACCCGCCTGGTTGACCCAGGCCAGTTAGACGAAACGGTAGTTTAGTTTAATCATCTGCTGATGATGCTAACATGGTTAGCGAAACGCGCGTCCAGTGTAAAAGTAAAAGTGTTTTGGTGTGTTGTGGTGATTTAGTGTTTTATTTTGCAATAAATTAATTATTAAATTTAAAATTAAACGTAAAAATATTTAAAAAATGATATAATAGATATATTGTTTCCCAATTTTATATTAAGATTCATCTCATAAATCCATCACAATCCGGCAGCGCTTTCGCCATCGCTTGTCACTCAAAGTTGATCACCTGCAACGGAAATTGTTTTGCGATTACTTTAGTATTATTTGTCCAGTGAGAAAATATACAGTAAAGCGAGTTAGTTACTTATTATTTTTTTTTCCTGTCAATTTTTAATGTCATCTGTCAAAATAGTATTTTCACTTCTCTCGCTGGACAGGCTTTATTTTTACAACGATACAAACTTTAAATTGTAGTAAAAGTATCCAATGTTTTGTATATTATTATCTTTTGAAGTTTTAGCTCAACCTGAAGATAAAATTGGAGAATTTGCCTATAGATTGAGAGCATGTGAAGATGAAGAGGATTTAAATGTTGACAGAATCCTAGCACAAAAATTTTCCAGGTTACATATACATGATGAATCATATGAATGTGAATATGATAGTGAGAATGAACTAAGTGACAGTTCTGAGGAATTGTCACATACGTATTCACCACCTCCTGATGATACTAAATGTAAAAACATTTTTTACATAGTATGTAGAATGAGTTCTATTTTTTTTTAATTCTAGTGTTTTTCACTGAAGTTATTGACAGTTTGACTAGAGGTTATGAGGATAAATTGCCTTGTGACAATTTGATTCTTGAAGTCAATTCTTCCAGATATGCATATAATGTTACACTAAGAGAGGTGATTATATTGTAAAGTTTAGAGATTAATAAGAGATTGATCTCATTAGTGATGATGTCATGAGGTGTCCCACTAGAATTTCACTTTTGTTTCTCTAATCTGTAGCTTCTAGCAAAAAAAAACTTGGCAATTTTGTTTAAGTGTAAACCTAAAGTATGTACGAGGATGTATTTCTGGAAAATATTTTAACTTCTACAGGGTGGCTCAAAAAAATGTGAGTGAATCGAGATGATTTTTTTAATGAAACACCTTGTATATTATTGCATTTTTGATATTTTCAGATCACTTTACATAATCCTAAGATATGAGTAAATATATTTCGATAGTTTCAGAGATATTAATAAATAAATAAAAAATAAATATTTTCCTTCGTTAAGAAAATTATTACAAATACAAGAACTGTCCTGAAATCAAATCTAAGAATATTATAGTTTTAAGAACTCTCGTGTGGAAGCTTTAGTGATTTGTCACACGGTGGCGCTTTTGAACATAATCGAAGCCTGAAAATGCTAATATTTTAAATTTTAAGGACTACGCGCGGCGATATTTCGTACGGTGTTGCCAAAACATATTTTATTTCTCGATATTTAAAGAAATATGTATTGATTATATATTTCGTATTCGGTAGTACATGAGGCATCCTAAGGCTATAAAAACGTAGCTATGAAAATAACATTTTAGATTTTTAATTTTTTTGTACCTTCTAATAAAAATTACTTCCATTCCAATTAAAAATTAACTAGTATGATTATGTGTTATCTGTGCTAGTATTAGGAAACTGGAGTAAATACGGAGAATATTAATTCGTTCACATAGATGAGCACTACTAAGTAATTTTTTAAAAATCGACCTATAAGGGGATGTAATTAGATAAAGGGGTGTAATTATACAAAAAAATCTGTACCTACTAGGAGTATAAACTTTTGCACAGATGTGGCGCATTTGAACATTGATAAGCGATTTTTGGAAATGTATAGCCTAAGGGTAGTGAAACTGGGGAGTGAAATTTTGTACAAAAAATGTTAGTTGTAAGAGTATGAAATTTTATACAGAGTTTCCTTAAGTGACGAAAGTGAGTACCTAGAAGCTAATTTTTGACATTCATCCCCTAGAAATAAGGGATGAAAATTTGTACAAAAGTTTGTTACAATCGGTTTTAGAAGTATGAAATTCTGCACAGACGTGCCTTATGTAACGTAATTTAGCACTAAGTAGCACTTTTTGGAAATTCGCCCTCTAAGGGTGTGAAATGAGGGGTGAACGTTCTGAAACAATTCTGTTGAAGGAATATGAAAATTTGCACAGAGGTTCCTTATGTAGCGTAATTGAATAATTAGAGTGATTTTTGGAATTCATTCCTTAAGGGGGTAGATGTAGAATGTAGTATGTTTAGGAGGGGAGTTGATCACCGCGACCTTATAGATCTATTGTGTGTTCCCCTTTCTTGAGTTATAACGAGTTATAACTCATCATACAGTCTCAGGGCTTTAAGAAAAGCCAGTATCTGAGACGGCTCCACAGAGGCCAGCTCTCCATTCTCGACATCAGACGTACCAAGGTTCATGGCACGAATGGTCGTCGTCTCGGCGCACTCAGTGATAAGGTGTTCTGGTGTTTCCCCATTTTCCCCACAAAATCTGCATTCGCCGTTGTTTCTCAGTTTCAGCCTACTGAGGTGTTCGTTGAGGAGATAGTGTCCTGTTAGAAACCCCGTGACAATCCGAAGATTGTTTCTTCAAAATATCAAAAATTATTGAATTCAAAAAAATCAAGGAAAACCTTTGATTTTTCTCGGTCATAAGTTCTGAGGAACTTTTTCGAGTGTCTTAGACCGTTGGAGGACACCCATTCCAAGTTACGGATGGAGTCTTCCAGATTCTTCAGTTCCGCTTTCGGTTGGTTCCCGTTTGCAAAAGAAAACGGTTCTGGTCCAGTTAGTGTTCGCTCCTTTTCTAGCTAGATCATTTGATTTTTCATTGCCTTCTATCCCTTGGTGAGCAGGCACCCAGAGTAGGAGGACTTTGTTTTCTTTGCCTAATTTGTTAAGCTTTTCCAGGCATTCTTTGACCAACTTCGAATTGATAGTTACTGAGTTGATCGCGTTAAGTGCTGCTTGACTATCGGATAGGATGGCAATTTCCTGTTTTCGATAGTTCCTATCTAAGATAAATTGTACGCATCTTTCGATAGCGCAAATTTCTGCCTGAAGGATACTGGGGTACGGGTTAAGGGGGTAAAACTAGGGGCGAAAATTTTTATAATTTTTTATGTAAAATCCGTTCTAGGACTAGGAGTATGAAATTCTGTTCAGAGGTCCCTTAAATGATGAAAGTGAGTACCTAGAAGGGAATTTTAGGCATGCATCACCTAAAAAATAAGGGATGAAAATTTGTACAAAAATTTGTTAAAATCGGTTTTAGAAGTATGAATTTTTCAGACGTTCCTTATGTAACGTAATTTAGCACTAAGAAGCAATTTTTGGAAATTCGCCCTCTAAGGGTGTGAAATGAGGGGATGAACATTCTGGAACAATAAATTCTGTTCAAGGAATATGAGAATTTGCACAGAGGTTTATTATGTAGCGTAATTGAATAATTAGAGCGATTTTTGGAATTCATTTCTTAAGGGGATAAAACTAAGGGTAAAAATTTGTATAATTTTTATGTGAAAATCCGTTCTAGGACTAGGAGTATGCAATTTTGTACAGAGGTCCCTTAAGTGATGAAAGTGAGTACCCAGAAGAAAATTTTGGATATGCACCCCCTAAAAAATAAGCACTCCCTATAAAACAATTAAAATAAAAAAAAAATGTCTAAAAATAAAAAAAAAGTTGGGGTGGACCACTCTTATCACTTAGGGGTATAAAAAATAGATAACCTGGGAATAGGTTGTGACCAAACCAAACCAAACCAGACCTACTGAATTACATACCTCTCGGCTACCTTATCTAATATATATATATATATATATATATATATATATATATATATATATATATATATATATATATATATATATATATATATATATATATATATATATATATATATATATATATATATATATATATATATATATATATATATATATATATATATATATATATATATATATATATATATCTTTTTATATATAAAAAATAACTAATAACAACCTATTTTCAGACCTACTCAATATACATAATAAAATTTCATCAAAATCGGCCAAGCCGTTTCGGAGATGGTAACAAAAAAACAACCCCTATTAGAAAATAGGGGATGATGGTAGAACGGTGAAAATTTTGAGTTGTTTGTATTTTTTAAGGCCAAATAAAAAAATATTTTTTTTTCAAAAATAAAAAAAATGAGGGTGGGCTACCCTCTCGGCTACCCTTATCACTTAAGGGTATAAGAATAGATAACAACCTATTCTTAGACGTACTGAATATACATATAAAATTTTATCAAAATCGGTTAAGCCGTTTCGGAGATGGTAACAAAAAACTTAAAAAAACAACCCCTATTAAAAAATAGGGGATGATGGTAGAACGGTGAAAATTTAGGGTTGGCTGTATACCCTTATCACTTAAGGGTATAAAAAAATATATAACAACCTATTTTCAGACCTACACAATATACATATAAAATTTCATCAAAATCGGCCAAGCCGTTTCGGAGATGGCAACAAAAAAAAATAAAAAAACAACCCCTATTAAAAATAGGGGATGATAGCAGAACGGTGAAAATTTAGGGTTGTTTGTATTTCTTAATGCCAAATAAAAAAATAAAAATATTTTTTTCTTTTCAAAAACTAAAAAAAATGAGGGTGGGCTACCCTCTCGGCTACCCTTATCAGTTAAGGGTATAAAAATAGATAACAACCTATTCTTAGACGTACTGAATATACATATAAAATTTTATCAAAGTCGGTCAAGCCGTTTCGGAGACGGTAACAAAAAACTTAAAAAAAACATCCCTTATTAAAAAATAGGGGATGATGGTAGAACGGTGAAAATTTAGGGTTGTTTGTATTTTTAATGCCAAATAAAAAAAATTAAAATATTTTTTTTTCAAAAAATAAAAAAAATGGGGGTGGGCTACCATCTCGGCTACCCTTATCAGTTAAGGGTATAAAAATAGATAACACCCTATTCTTAGACGTACTGAATATACATATAAAATTTTATTAAAATCGGTTAAGCCGTTTCGGAGATGGTAACAAAAAATTAAAAAAACAACCCCTATTAAAAAATAGGGGATGAAGGTAGAACGGTGAAAATTTAGTGTTATTTGTATTTTTAATGCCAAATAAAAAAAAATAAAATTTTTTCACAAAATAAAAAAATGGGGGTGGACTACCCTTATCACTTAAGGGTATAAAAAATATATAACTACCTATTTTTAGACGTACTGAATATACATAAAAAATTTCATCAAAATCGGTTAAGCCGTTTCGGAGGAGTACGGTAACCAAAACTGTAACACGGGAATTATATAAGATAATATTGTTGCGAGCCGGTGTGGACTCGACCTAACCTCACAATATGGCCCGCCCTCGGATGACCTTAACATCGCATAGACACCGCAATGATTCATTCGTTCGAGAAGAATCGAGACCCACTAGAATGGACTCGTACATACGAGAACATTCGAAAACCTTCTATGCGCCTAACGATCTTTGGACTATTCTAGATTTCTTTTACCTGTCGGTATAAAAGCCGGCGGCAGTGGCCTAGAGAGGGCAGTTATAAATATACAGTTGACGCGCTAAAATTCAAAATAAATTCTTAGTTATAAATCGTTTGTAAATAGTTCTATAAGTCGTTTATCGTTATTAGTTTTGTTAATTAGTATTAAATAAATAGTGTTTAAATAAATTGTGACTTTCTATCCACACGGAACCGACGAAAAACGTAACAATATTATATGTAAACTGGGGAGTGCGGAGAACGGAAAGACTGATTATAGCAATAGATAAAATTTAAAACTATAATTTAAAACTATTCAAGAAAGTACACACAAAACAAGGCAACGCCGCGCGTCTATTCGTTCAATTCCGAGCAAAATAGCGAGGTCCCACGAAGTTGGGGCCTCGCTCGCCAAAGCGAGCCCCATCGACAGGTCAGATTTTGATGCGAGACGAGACTTCTAGGGTATTAAGATATTCTTTGATACTAGGTATTTACTTGATATGGTTTATACTTCCTTTCCTATAAATAATCATAATCTTAAATCATACAGGATGAAAGAACAAGAACTGTCCTTAAATCAAATCTATATTAGGTATTTACTTGATATGGTTTCTACTTACTTTGCTATAAATATCATAATCTTAAATCATACAGGATGTTTAAAATTCTACGCCAAACTTTCTAAAATATAAAATATTTTTTCTTTGCTTTTTTTTTGAATGTGTATATTATTATTTTTGTATATTATTTTTATTTTAGATGGAGAACTAAAAAATGAACATTTTTTGTATTTAAAGTATTTCAGAATTTTTAATGGTCTCGCAGATACACGCAGTATTATTTCATATGGCTCTCACAACGGTAATATACGAGAGAAAAATCATTGGGTGGATTTGATAAAAATGTACTGTGGAAAATGCCATATGAAATATATAACAGCGATTATCTGCGAAACCGTTAAAAATGTTGAAATACTCTAAATAAAACAACTGTTAATTTTTTAATTCTCCATCTATTGAAAAAATAATATACAGGGTGTTCCATTTTAAAAAAACGAAGAAAAATTAACTTTTATTTTAGAAAGTTTGGCGTAGAATTTTGAACATCCTGTATCATTTACGATTACCATATTTATAGCAAAGTAAGTACCGAGCATCTAAAGCAAATACCTAATACAGTTTTGATTTCAGGACAGTTCTTGTATTTTTAATAATTTTTTTAAAAAAGGTTGAAAAATATGTATGTCTTATTTATACAGGGTGTCCCAGAAATAAGTGCAGGTATTTTTACTGGTGGTATAGTTCAACCCCAGAAACCCCTATGAGGTGTCTTTTTTGCGAATTTTTTTTTGAAAATTCGAAATTTTTTGAAAATTTTTTTGGATTTTTTTTAGCTTTTGTTTCAAAAAAATTTCTTGATAATATAGCAACATAGGGAGTAGATTAAATTTACAAGAAAGAAAATCCAGAAAAGATCCAGTGGTTCTCAAAATTTTAGCAAAAACTCATTTATTTTGGAAATTTTCAAAGTAAAATAACTCCGTTATTTTGGACTTATTTGAAAAACGATAAAGAGAAAATATGTTTCTTTTATCGAAATCTACCACCCCTTAAAATACTTGCACTTATTTCTGGGACACCCTGTATTAATATCTCTGAAACTATCGCAATATTCCTAAATACATCCTAAAATATACTTTAGGTTTGCACTTAAACAAAATTAACAAGTTTTTTATTCTAGAAGCCGGATCTTGTACATAAAAAAGAATGTTCTTTTATGTAAGCGATAAAAGGACTCAGAACCAACATATCACTGAAAAATTGGGTAACATTCATTCTGTTATAAAAATACACAATTTAATATGGGCCAGACGTGGCTACCCTGAAACTCGCTTTAATATTCGTGGCACTATCTACTAATAATAACGCAAATCACGCCCAGGAAAAAGTAGTGCATTTTTAAAACTGTATGTACAATTGCTAATTTTTTAATGATATGTTGCATAGTACCTCTGGTTAATATGTACATAGTACCTCTGGTACCACTCAATTAATTTCGCTAGTATTTAAAGTATTGTTGTTAATGGTGTCACCCTAATCAGGTTATTTAGATATGTTCCTTGTATATATTTCTGTTATTTTACTGTTTATAGGTGAATTATAATGTTATAAAGGCAATATTAATAATATCACAAAAGTTGCCTTCAGGAACACAATATTTTTCTGTCATGACTCAAATGTTATGTTATTTTTCTCCACTTCTTAAGAACTACATTAAAAATGAGGCAGCAATGGTTGATTGTCTTCAGGCAGTTGAGGTATGATATATATTTCCATAAGAAATACTAAAATCAAAAATACAACATCAAGAAAATAAATTTTTAGTAATACAGTCTGTGCAAAATTGTTATAGTAAGTGAGAATTAAGTTTACTTTTCCACAATATACAGGGTGGTCCGAACTGTATTCCGGAAACTTTGGCAGCATATTCTGCAGATAAAAATAAGTAAAAAAGTTCGTATAAATGTATGTCCTAAAATGCTTAGTTTCGGAGATACAGGGTGTAGAAGTTTCATTTTTATTTCGATTTTTTCCAAATAATTTCTGCGGTAACGTCAATATTTGGATGAAAATTGGTGTCTGGGAGTTTTTTGACATGAGAAATTTGATTTTGATGTCAATATGACTCCTACTAGTACCCTTTTAACTGATTTGAAACTTTTCGTCCCTATCTGTATAAAACTACTGAGTAAAAAATACACATTTACAACTTTTTTACGTAAAAAATGCTTTTTAGTAAAAATCGCTACGAGTACTGGTTTGCGAGATATTTGGAATCTAAATTATCAATACCTGTCATCATTGACATAAATTAAACACGATGACTAAATAGTTATTAGACTGAGATCATAAATTTGAAAATTTTTGTGCCAAAAGTTCAACAAAAACTTCCCAAATTTATTATTTTAGTGAGACTACTATGTATCTACTCAATGTGTTTATTTTTCGTCAATAATGACATGTATTGACTATTTCTATTCTAAATATCTTGAAAACGGTTGCTGGTAGCGATTTTTACAAAGATATATTTTTCACTTAAAAAGTCATAGAGATGTATATTTTTCCCTCGGTAGTTTTATACAGATATGGACAAAAAGTTATTACTCTTCAAACCAGTTAAAAAATATATAGGTGGCGCCCTCTACCTGTAGGAGTCATATTGATATCAAAATCAAATTTCTCATGTCACAAAACTCCTTAACACCATTTTCATCCAAATATTGACGTTACTTCAGTAATTATTTGGAAAAAATCGAAATAAAAATGAAACTTCTACACCCTGTATCTCTGAAACTAAGCATTTTAGGACATACATTTTACGAACTTTTTTACTTGTTTTTATCTGCAGAATATGCTGCCGAAGTTTCAGGAATACAGTTCGGACCACCCTGTATACAGGGTGTCCCAGAAATAAGTGTAAATATTTTAACTGGTAGTATAGTTCAACCCCAGAACACGCCTATGAGGTTTTTTTGCGAAAAAAAAAATGTTGAAAATTTAAAATTTTTCTTGGCATTTTCCGGGAAATTTGAAAACACTTTTTAGTGCCACTTGTTTATTCACCTGAGATTTCACTACGGTGTATCTAAACCTTGCAGTGTTGCAACCTCCTATGGTATCCACATTCTACATAGTTCTACATTTATAAATTCATAGACATATTTCTACTCAAAAAATTAGGATTGTTAAATTTAATCTTTTATCAGTGCTCATTGTTAATATTTATAGAAAAAAAAACATGTGTGAATTATTTTTAGTACTTACCCTTTCAATGAAACTTAACTAAAACATTACGTTTATGACGTTATTACAGTTGAGGGTTGGAACCTTTGGTGTTACACAGCAAAATAAAACACTAAATCACCACAATACACCAAAACACTTTTACTTTTACACTGGACGCGCGTTTCGCTAACCATGTTAGCATCATCAGCAGATGACTATAAACTTAAGATCACTAATCACCACAATACACCAAAACACTTTTACTTTTACACTGGACGCGCGTTTCGCTAACCATGTTAGCATCATCAACAATCATTTATAAACTTAAGTTTATAATCATCTGCTGATGATGCTAACATGGTTAGCGAAACGCGCGTCCAGTGTAAAAGTAAAAGTGTTTTACTTTTACAGTGTAAAAGTTTTGGTGTATTGGCGTTTTATTTTGTTTATGACGTTTACGAAAATCTTTGTTATGCTGCAAAATAACGTTATTTTGGGATAAATTTAATAAAATGATTCATCATATTATTCACAATCAGGTCACAAAAAAGAAATTCCTAAAATGTTTATCGTAATTTAGAATTCAATATATCGATAACAGCCCAACGAATAATCGATTCATTTTTGTTTTGTTTGTTTTCTTTCATGTTTTTCTGTTTTATTTGAACCACTGATTTACAAAACACCTTGAAAAGCGCACATTACTTTGAATACCTTTCTGAATAAATAAACGTTGAGAATTGTTGTCTGACTACGAACTACTTTCAATCTAAGAAAATACATGTGTCACTCAACAATTTTACGTATTTTGTTTTTTCGCTATTTTTTCGATGTATTTCGACAATTCCATCAACAGCACAACCGTCGACCAAGAGAGCCGCGCGTGAACTGGTACTGGTCGGATTGGTCCTTTGAGGCGCCGCGCCGTCGTGGCGGGCTTGCGTCAGACGACGATGTTAAGCAACGTTGCCGTAGTTACAACAGTTCCAAATGAAAGACATTCGAAGCAATCAAATTCGTATTAAATTTTAAAAATAAAACAGAGAAACATGAAAGGAAACAAACAAAACAAAAATGAATTGATTATTCGTCGGACTGTTTTCGATATATTGAATTCTGAATTACGATAAACATTTTAGAAATTTCTTTTTTGTGACTTTATCAATAATCAATTCATTTGTGTTTTGTTTGTTTTCTTTCATGTTTTTCGGTTTTATTTTTAAAATTTAATAAGAATTTGATTACTTCGAGTGTCTTGAATAACTATTCTTGAAACTACGGCAACCTCGCATGACGCAAGCTCGACACGGCGGCGCGACAAAGGAGCACTTACCAGTTACCACTTTGCCAGTGATGCAATGCGCGGCTCTCTTGGTCGACGCCACGGTTGGGCTGTCGATGGAATTGTCGAAATAGATCGAAAAAATAGCGAAAAAACAAAATACGTATTTAAAATTGTTGAGTGAAACATGTAATTTCTTAGATTGAAAGTAGTTCGTAAAGTGGCGGTAAGAGACAATAATTCTCAACATTTATTCATTCAGAAAGGTACTCAAAGTAATGTGTGCTTTTCAAGGTGTTTTGTAAATCAGTGGTTCAAATTGTGATGAAGCCTATATGAAAATAATGTGTTAAAAATGGGGACTGTTACTTTAGCAGTTATTTATAATAGCATGTACAAGTAAAGCAGTACAGTGAAGTGTATTTTAGTTAAGTGTGTATCGAAAAAGAGAACTGTCACAGTTACATCGATCTGTCATAAGTATCTTTTTTAATGTTGGGTAAGTTTTTTAATTTAACTTTTTTAACTTTTAAACATTTAACTTTTAATTTATTTTATGTAATAATATCACAATCTTAAAAATGTAATGCATCTCTGCAGGTGTTGTGATTTTATGACTTACAACTTAACAAGTATAGCTAGAGACGTGAGAAATATAAAATAACACGTGACCGGTGCTATCCCCAAGTCTCTTCCTATATTTGTTCAACTGTAGTTTTAAACATACTTTCTTGTCCATATGGCAACACAGTGCGTCGAATTAACTGAAATCCGGACTTGATCCGGGTAATTGAATGTAGTTGGCGATAATCTGCCGGAGCCGGCGGTTCTCAAAATGTTGCGATTATTTTTTTAAAATTTCAAAGTTAAATAACTCGGTTATTTTCAGTTTATTTTAAAAATGGTAAAGAGAAAATATGTTTCTTTTGACCAGATCTACCACCCCTTAAAATATCTGCACTCATTTCTGGGACACCCTGTATAAATTGTAAAAAATTAAAATTATTTATTTTCACACTATCGAATTTTCTGCAATGGCCTTTAGAAATCGACATTTTTGAGCTAACGTAATCGGTATATGATACTCTATTCTATATTTTGTAATAAACAAAAAACATAACCAAGGTAAGATACAGCCTAGGTATGTTGAAGAAATTCCTTTGTTTTTAATTACTCCGAGTAAAAAAAAATCTCATTTGTTAAAAAGTTTTTGGCCCAGTCGGTATATAAAGAAACTTTAGAATAATATACTATTTAGTGTTTTGTTATTTTAGGATGTAGCAATATCGGAGAGCGATTTGAAAGACAAATGGATTATTTTTCTATTAAAATATTTGTATGAAAAGGACTTTTTAAATGAAGAATCAATCTTAAAGTGGTTTGCTACACTTAAAGAGCATACTAAACTGCACACTCAAGTCAAGCCTTTTGCTAGTTGGCTACAGGAAGCTGAAGAAGAGGATTCTTCTGAAGAAGACGAATCTGAATGAAATTCTTCTGAAGAAGACGAACGTTACTAAAACTTGAAATAATATCGGATTTATTACGGATTCCGTCGATCCTTAATGTAAACACGATGAAACTAACTAATTCATTACACCCCTATAATCATAATAAACTACTCCATTATGACACGCTAACAACTTAATTGATTTTGCCGTTTTTTCCGATTTCTGACTCCTTCACCATTTACTTAACTCAAAATTTCTTCAGTATTACACAAAATACTTTCAATTAAATTTTTTTTCCCAAAATTTAATTTCAATATTAACTACCGTTCTTCTTGGAGCCCTCTCATACGCCGCGGAGGCTCCAAGGAGAATGACCGTTTGTATTGAAATGAAATTTTATGAGCATTTGTAGGTTAATTTAGAGCACTTTTTTAAAATATAGAGAGTTCTGCAGGGTGTCCATAAAAAAAGTTACATATCAAAGTTGTGTTTTTGTAATGGAACACCCTATATATTAATTCATTTTCGGATTCTGGTAGAAAAATAAAGGTGAGTTTTATAAGAGAAGTATATTGTTGCAGAAGTATAGAAGTTGCAGACTTCTTTTAACAGTGGCAAGTGAAGGACAGGTGAGATCAAAGATAGAGAGAGTTTGAGAAAAATCCTACTGCTGGTGGCGGTATCCAGTGACAATGTTGTGTAGCTGTATAATCTCGCGGTGTATATTCGATTGCGTAATTGTAAAATACTAAATAAAATAATATTTAACAATAAAATTGTAGTAAACATGAAGCAAAAATAATAGTTATTTGCGATAATTTATGAGCTACTACAGAGGTCGTAGCCAGGAAATTTGACTGTTACAACGAGTTCCACGTTCATATGAACATTATTTGTATGAATAAATTATTATCTATCTATCACGCCCATAACAAATGCAGCCTTGACTCCGACCGAGCAACAGTAGAAAATCCTATACGCTGGAAGTACACACTCGCCGAGGGGACCCAAGGCGCCACAAAAAATGCGAGGTCCAGCGAGACGTCCCGAGACAGCGCAAAAACACCAATAAAATTTTGCAGTACATGAATAAATATATTCTGAAGAATAATTTTGTAAAAATAAAAACATCAGGCGCTCAACCAGGTAAATTTAATAACACCTATGGGAAGATTTGGACAACATTTTTTCTTAAATCCCATTTAAAACCAACCTAAAAGTCGAGCAAATAAAAAAAACAGTGAAATACTCCAAATCAAATTGCATATATTAGTTTCAAACAGAAAAAGATAAACCCGCCTGTGATTATTTTTGTTTTCATTGTATTTTTGGTATTATATATAAGGCATACTCATCTACGCTTTTTTTATCCTTCACTGTTACGTCACAGATTATCATTCTATTGTCCCTGTTTGTTATGAAAAAATCATTCCTACCGACTGCGCCAATTATGGATTTCGACAACGAAAATACTTTTTTAAAAAATTTTATTTTTCACAAAGTATGTTTAACAGATACAATGAATACAATGGTTAAGAACAGAATGACAATTTTAATGCGCTTGGTTATATTTATAAGTTCGGTTTCGCTCGCGTCTTCGTGGGAAAACCATGCTATTTCCTCTCACATAACTTAAAATTAAAAAAAATCATAATGCTGTAAAAAAACGTAAAATATTTTCTAATTTACGCAAAGTATTTTACATTATAAAAAATAAATCTTTATTTTTAACTGAGGATAAAAGAGATAATCAGTAATTTTGTAATTAGAGTAATAATTTTTATGTTAATGGTGACAAAAAAGTGAAAACAGTGTCTAGAAAGTCTGTATCATAATATCTTTCACGTACATTATAATTTTCTTTGTTTAAAAGACGCAATAACGACACGTTTTTTGCTAATATCTCAAAATGGATTTATTTCGTTTTGTTTGATCGCTCCTCAATTATTAAAATAAACGTAGATACTTATAGAAACTAATGAATGTTTATATTAGGTTGGCAGTCATATATTTGAATTTGAAGATTTTACATCAAACTGAATGAAAACCTCGTGCATAGCTTTTAATAAAATTATTATAAGTATTAAATACCGAAAATAGGCGTCAACTCAAAGGCAGTTGAGAAGACAAACTAAGGAGTGCCGAGATCTCCCGAGAGCACTGTGTATATTTTCGCGGGACCTCCTACTGAACGCTTTCGCCATAGAGAAATATAGAATCTATTATGTCTCTCTTTTATTTAGTTTCTCTGTGGCTCTCGTCCTCTTTGACTCGTGTTGGAGACCGCCTCTAGGCCGAGCGCTCCCAAGACGAGGGAGAGGCAGCGAGGCAAGACGAGAGACCCAGGTACACACTCGCCTCGGGTCCCCTCGGCGAGCGTATACTTGGTACAAAACGTTCAGAGTGCTAGGCGAGAGAGCCCGATAGCAGGCGAGAGCCCTAAGTACATACTCGGGTCGTCTCGGCGAGTGTGTACTTGCACCAATCATATGCATCGAGACTATCGAGAGGCTATTGAACCTCCCACGGCGGAGTCGCGTGCGGTAAGCGGGCTTGGAAACAATCATTAGAATAGGTTCTTTGTTGGAACGGTTGTCGATTATTCGTTTGTTGTGTGATACGTACGTGCGTTGTGCTTCGTGCAATATGGAAGACAATAATACGGACATGGACCACAAAAATAAAAAATTGTAGACATTTTTATCCCGAAAAACAATACGAACAATTTAAATGGTTAACAGGGTGTGAAAATATTAGTAAGATATTTGGTTGTCCATGTTTATTATTTGAAAATGAAAACGGTCTCTGGAATAAAACTGGTTTTTCCGATTTAAATAATTTCCATAAAGCTGTAAAAAGACACATCATGTCCAAATCACATTTGCAGGTCGTTATAAAAGAAAAAGTCTTTGGCAAAACCAGAATTGAAAACGCCCTTAATAAGCAGTTGGAAATTAGTCACCGCCAACGCAATGAACTAGTCGATAAAAATAGGCAAATATTTTAAAAAGACTTATCGATATCTTTTTTTTCTCGGACAGATAATTCAGCAACAAATAAAGTGTAGATTTAACGGTTTAAATGAGTTTAAATTTCTCGAGCTCTGCAATTTTAATGCATATAAAGGAAAAGCTTTGCCACAAGATTTGTTAAAATCTTTTCTTCTTATAGCCAGTTCTTCGCCCGAGTGTTACTGCGATCTGAACTGATAGTGATTTACGAATCTGATGACATTAGTGCAAAAAATAACGCTAGAGAACTAATGCAATTTTTCATAGACAAGGACCTAGAAGATGCCTACATCGAAGTGTCGAAATTGTGTAAATTAGTATTGACAATACCTACCACAAGTTCATCAGTAAAACGCAATTTTTCAACAACTTTCTTCTGACTCAAGGTGTCAGGAGAAAGGGATCAAACTTTCGCTAGTATCGCTGTTGTCCATCGAAAATAAACTTCCCCAAAACATGTCGGGGCATGCACGTTTCTATGATGATGTAATTGACGAATTTGCAAAAAGTGGTCGAAGAATCGAATTACATTACATTACATTACATAACAAATTGCAATTACAATAGGTAAGTTTCTAAAAATTGCTTCCCTAACTTAAAATTTCACAGCACGCCTCTGGCGACACCAATCACAAGAAAAACTCAACTGCGCATTGCGAAACTCTCTCATTTTCCCCATAGCTATGTATGGCTCTGGAACCTGGACACTAAAGAAAAGTGATAAACAAAGAATAAACGCCTTGGAAATGTGGGTATATCGAACTGCTGCGAATACCATGGACGGCTCACTAAACAAACATTTTTATTATTTTTTTTATTATAAGAACTAAAAATTGAGACACGTCTTGTCACAAAATTAAATCAGTCAATCCTGCGATGTTTGGCCATATTGTCAGGAGTGGCACCTCAATGGAGAGACTGATGGTGGAGGGGAACGGTAGAGGGAAGGCGATCACGTGGAAGGTCATCTAAGAGGTGGGTAGATCACAAGAACGGTAAACTAATAGGATTGCTCATCCTCATAAGACGTACGTTCGCCTCTTCCCGCGCTTCAACTGACAGTTGTGACGTCATTGTAGTCCTTGTCATGATAATGTGTATGCCTATGTTAAACTAATAAAAATATCAGCTGAGAAATTTTGAGTTAATTATTTTGTGGATTTTAAATGTGAAAAAGGGTATTTTTAAAGTTTTTAGAGCTATATAGTTTATAAATACGTTCATTTTGTGTTGTGGATTGTGACTAAGTGCTTACTAAGTGCCTACGATATTATTTTAAAGCAAAAGATGGAAGTACTCTAAAAGAATGCCTGCAAAAGATGATGCTGGGATCTACTGTTCTTAAAAATGCATTATGCAAATATTTAATACGATTTATAGAGTTAATTTTTTATACTGCATACATATAAGGTGTTTAAATAAATAAACTAAGTAATGAATGTTTTGCATACGGCAACCAATAATACACACTATTATGAGAAGGACTACAATGACTTCACAAATCGAACAGTTTTCGCATGCATCTGGCAGACACTTTCTGCTGAATGAGCGGTCCTATTAGGTTAACTGTTCTTGGGTAGAAAAGGGTAGATCAAGTCAAGAACCTAGTGGGCCACAGCTTGCCTGTAGCCTGACATATGGCACAGTGTATCAACCTAACCAATTTTTTGAGAATTTTATCATGAGTTTCTTTGAATAAAAATATTAAGGAAGATCCTTGACATAATTATGTCAATAATTAAGTAGTCACCCTCCTTGGGCTCATGAGTCGAGTAATGTATTAATTGTATATGTATGTAATTGTATTAAGGGAATATGAAAATTCAAAGTACTAAGGCATTTGAAAAAGTGAAGCTGATTAGGTAGAATTTAAGATGAAACTTTAGTAGTAGTAATTTTACAAGTTTAAACCATATATTTTTAATAAAAATAAAGACTAATAATCTGCAAATAACTAGTACTAATATAACATTCTTGTTAGCATTTTTAGGGTGATGAAGATGACATTTTCCAACACATGGATTTATTGATAAATAATGGAAAATTGAGGAATTACAAAAAGTACTTGAATAAAAAAAAATTCTTATGGAAAGTAAGTTCAGAGGTATAGTATTGTTGCGGACCCGTGTGGACTCGACCTAACCTAACTATATGTCCCGCCCTCAGATGACCTTAACA